TTTTTTGGCCATTTCGGACATTTCTCACCCCAAATTTCCCTCGCAGGTTCGAGTTCGGCTCCGCGCTGTTCCTGGGCTGGGCGGGCTCGTTCCTGGCGCTGCTCGGGGGGTCCCTCCTGGCCTCGTCCTGCTGCAGCTGCGGGGGGGGAGGGGCGGCCAAGCGGGGCTACCCCCGGGCCAGGACCCCCCCAAAAACCGGCCCCGGCAGCCGCGAGTACGTCTGAGCGACCCCCGACCCAATCCGGGGACCCCCGACCCAATTCGGAGACCACCGATCCAAATCAGGGACCCCCGACCCAAATCAGGGAACCCCGACCCCATTCGGGGACCCCCGACCCAATTTGGGGACCACCGACCCAAATCAGGGACCCCCGACCCCATTCGAGGACCCCCGACCCAATTTGGGGACCACCGACCCAATCCGGGGACCCCCGACCCAATTCGGCGACCACCGACCCAAATCAGGGAACCCCGACCCAATCCGGGGACCCCCGACCCAATTTGGGGACCCCCAACCCCACTCGGAGACCCCCGACCCCATTCGGGGACCCCCGACCCAATTTGGGGACCACCGACCCAAATCAGGGACCCCCGACCCCATTCGGGGACCCCCGACCCAATTTGGGGACCCCCGACCCAATCCGGGGACCCCCGACCCAATTCGGCGACCCCCGACCCAATTCGGCGACCACCGACCCAAATCAGGGAACCCCGACCCCATTCAGGGACCCCCGACCCCATTCGGCGACCCCCGACCCAATTCGGAGACTCCCGACCCAATTTGGGGACCCCCGACCCAAATCAGGGACCCCCGACCCCACTCGGAGACCCCCGACCCCATTCGGGGACCCCCGACCCAAATCAGGGACCCCCAACCCCATTCGGAGACCCCCGACCCCATTCGGGGACCCCCGACCCAATTTGGAGACCCCCGACCCAATCCGGGGACCCCCGACCCAAATCAGGGACCCCCAACCCCATTTGGGGACCCCCGACCCAATCCGGGGACCCCCGACCCAATCCCGGCCCTGCCCCCCCTCCGCCATCTCCCCTCCCCCAATTTCCCGCCGCTTATCCCCCAAATTTTGGGATTTTTCCCCCTCAATTTTTCATTATTTTTCCCTCTTCCCCCCCAAATTTCTTGGGTGTTTTCCCTCCCTTTTCAATTTTAATTATTTTTCCCCTCTTCCCCCCTAAATTTCGGCTTTTTTCCCTTCTCCCCCCCTAAATTTCAGCTTTTTTTCCCTTCTCCCCCACAAATTTTGGTTATTTTTCCTCTCCCCCCAAAATTTGATGTTTTTCCCCTTCCCCACCCCCCATTTTGGTTTTTTCCCCCAAAATCTTCGGGATTTTTCTTCTTTCCATCCAAAATTTTGGTTCTTTTTCCCCTCCCCCCGCTCCAAATTTCGGGTTTTCTCCTCTTTGGTTGGTGCTGGGACCCCCTCCCCAATTTGGGGGGGTCCCCGCCGTTTTGTTTTGTTTTGTTTTTTCCCCAATGATTTTGTACGGGATGAAAATAAAACCAAAACTTTTCGGGTGCTTTGTGTCTTTTTTTAATTATTTATTCGTGGGTTTTGGGGTCTTCCGGGTCAGGAATTCCTCCAAAATTCCCTCCAGGGGCCCCCAGATTCCCCCCGCCCTTTCCCAGGTGTTGATTTTCTGCTTTTCTGCCCAAATTCCCGAATTATTCCGATTATTCCAGCACTAGAGAAAAAAAAATAAAATGGGATTTGAAAAGTTTTCAATCCCGGAATGGATTTATTTGGGAATTGCGAAAATCCAGGATCGAATTGGGAAAATTCTGGGAGAAAAGGGAGCGGAGAGAACCTGGGAAAAAGCGAAAAAAAGGGGAAATTCCCGAAAAATGGAGAATTCCAGGGAATCCCCAGCAATTGGTTGACGTGGTAATGGCGGCGCCCAAGCCGGGAAGGAGCTCGGGGATTTTTTCGCTTTTTTCCGCTTTTTTCTTTCTACTTCGCCGCTTTTTGGGCATAAACCGGAGGATTTGAGGCAAAACCAACCAAAATCCACCCCCAAAAAACCCAAAAAAAACCCCAAAACTCCCCAAATTCCCCTGTGGCCAACATGGCGGCGCGCTAAGCCGTACGATGACATCACTTATGCGACGGTGACGTCATCAGGGAGAAGCCGGATCAAACATGGCGGCGCCCGGTTCCGTACAGCGGTGTCGCGCAGGGAAAATGGCGGCGGCCATTTCCGTCCGTGACGTCATCGGGAGGCGCCGCGCGACGATGCTGGAGGCGCTGGGCGGCGGGGGGCTGCTGCTCGTCAGGGGTGCGCGGGATTTTTGGGGCGAATTTGGGGCTTTTTGGGGCTTTTTGGGGGG